TGGGTTATTGGTGGAGACATTACAGTATTTTGTGAGCCTGTAGTGCTGTTAAGGTTGTTGCGTTTGGGTTGAGTACGAGTCGGTTGTGTTTGTGATAACGTGGTGTGTTTCTGAGAAGAAAGAGTATTGTGTTTTTTAGCTGTGCTAGGCCGTGTGGGTGAGGGCGTCTTTGTAGTGCGTGTTGCGTTACTTGTATTTATTGCGTTTGTTTGTTCAGGAAGTTGTGTTTGTGTGGTTGGTTGAGTTAAGTTTGGAAATATTACAGTATGTTGTGTGTCATGTTGTGAGTCTAAAGTGCTGTTTAGGCTTTTGCGTTTGGGTTGAATACTAATGGGTGGTGATAATGTGGTTTGCTTCAGAGGTGAATCTCTGATTGTAGTATATGTTGTATCATTTGTTGTACTTGTTTGTTCGGTAAGTTGTATTTGTGTGTTTGTTTGGGTTAGAGGTGGAGATATTACAGTATGTTGTGTACCGTGTTGTGAGCGAGTACTGTTGTTTACATGTATACGTTGTGGATCATTTCTGTATGTAGTATCTTGTGTTATGTTTAGAAATTTACGAACAATATGGCATGTGTTGATAATGACTGCTTTTTGTAAATGTTTGTATGTGTTTTTGTCTAAACCTAATAGTTTGTTGTGGTGTATTGTCTTTGGTATAACTCCAGTAGCACTAAGAATAATGGGAACTATAACAGTAGATTTCATTCTCCATTGCGTCTTAAGCTCGATAGCTATATCGGTGTATTTGCGGTGTTTTTCTGCATGTGTTTTAGTTAAGTTGTTAGTGTTGGGGATGGCAATGTCTATAATACAAATGGATTTTTGTGTTTTATCTATAAGTGTAATGTCTGGTCTATTATTGTGGATAGTTTTGTCTGTGAGTAGTGTCCTGTCCCAATATAATTTGTGTGTGTTGTTTTCGAGTATGATCTGTGGCGTGTATTTGTAGTATGGTGTCGTATCTGTTATGAGATTGTGTTTAAGTGCTAATTTTTGATGTATGATTTTAGCTACCTGATCATGTCGATGTTTGTATTCAGTTTGTGCAAGTCGTGTGCAATGTGCATGCCGATATTATATGTTGGATTGTTTCTGATGTTTGTGAACAAAGTCGACAAGAATCATTTGTCACTGTTTTATCTTTATGTATGTGTTTTTTATAGTTGCGTGTGTTAATGACCTGGTCTTGTATTGCTAACATGAAACCCTCAGTCTCCGGGAAGACATCACATTCAGACAACCAACTGTGCGTTGCTATAGAGTCAACACAATCCTGGCCAACCTCTTGTGGAAATCGTCCATGTAAAGGCTTTTGGTTCCATGTCTGTATGTTATTTGTGATGTATGTAAGTTTGGATGTGGGTGGGAGTACATTAGTTTCGTGTAGGTTAAGTGGTGTGTAAGATTTGTCTGCATATGTTACTGTTTTGTGTAAGACTGAAGTATCTGATTTGTTATAAAAGTATTGTCGTAAATTGTGTATTTGTGTTTGGTGTAATAGTTTTATATCTGTAAGTCCTCTACCTCCTTCCGAACGAGGAAGGTAAAGTCGTATAGTGGAGGAGTGAGGGTGATGTATATGGTGTTTTGTTAATAGTGTACGTGTGTTTCTCTGTATTTGTTCTAAATCTGTATTTGTCCAACGTATAATCCCGAAAGAGTATGTAAGCACTGGTATGGCATAAGTGTTAATAGCTTTGATTGTATTTCTACCGTGTAATTTTTGTTTTAAGTATACTGCGTACTCTTTGTAGGTATTGTGTGATAAGTGTTTGTTTTATACTCGTATGTTTAATATGTGTATTTTGCTGAAAACCAAGATACTTATAAGTTTCATTCTCGTCCATGGAATTTATTAAATTACCCTGTTCTAGCTCATAATCTAAAAGTTGTCTTTTACCAGCTGTGATGTGTTGTGTAATTATTATTATTATTATTATTATTAAATTTAACTTTCTCATTACCAAAGTGTTGCCTTTTATTCAAATTCATATTGTTGATCAAATGTATTTCTTAACTTTAAAATCAAAGTCGTTACGATTTATCAAAGCAGGTGTAGCCTATAGAGAATTATTCGGACAAAAATAATAATTTGGCAACATTGACAAAACACCAAATAGTGAATAGGTTTCCATGCAGAGGTTAAAAAATGACATTGAATCAGCTAAAAATATACAGGTTGTTCCATTTAAAAAATCCGCTGTGTATTGACACCGTAAAAATATGACACCATGTAGATTCAAAAATAATTTCTGTAGATGCGCAACCACCTATGGTTGACATTATTTGCACAAAAGGTTTTTTGATATTTTTTACCAGGTATGAGCTACAAGACAGACTGACGTACTGTTGCAGGACCCTGTTATTATATCATATTTTTCAAAATTTTGAAATGACATGTTTCTACCATCAACCATTTTTATTGATTGGTAGGGGCTGCCCGAGGGGCTGCCATTCATACAATAAAAAACAAAACAAAATAAATGCCCTACTATTTAAAAACCGTAAAAAATTAGATTTTAATTTTTGGTTCATGGCTAAAATTTAACAAAATATAGGTTGTGATACATCAATGTAATCAGGAAAAAGAATGCAAAAAATTAACGTTAAGATATACAGGATGTCGCATTTAAGAAATACCAACTTTGGTTCAAGTCTCGGAAACGGTGGTCCAAAAATTTATTTATACTACGCCACTGGATGCTACGTAAAGAAATCTGTAATGCGCAATGTTTACCGTTTTTCTATTCTACATGGATAGTAAGATACGACAACATCCTAAAAAGTCAAACTTTTCGTTTTCAGAAACAAATAGATTGATTTTTTTGTGGTATTAATAGTTTCACAAAAAAGTGGCACAGGATCGCGAAAACCGCAAGTGGCTATCTTTAAAAATAGACGAAATACACCGCAGTCTCAACAGTTTTAAGTCCATGTTTTCGTGATATCGGCGAATATACGTATTGTGGGTAGGTCGGAGGTAAATAATAGGTATAGCATTGGTCCCAGGACACTCCCCTGTAGTACCCCTGCTATTTCTGTAATTTGTGTCCATAAATCAGAAAGTTGGCAATGCGTAGTGTCCGCATGCGCGTATGTGATTTTTACTATATACGATATGCTTGCCTGTACTAGAAGTATCTGTGGTTAAAATTTCAACAAAATATATGAATAAATAAGAAAGTTCATATTGCGCAGCCTGCGCATGCGCACATTCATCGTCAAGATTTTTATTGGCTCAAGTGCCAAGGCTATAAAAGAACGAACGCAATATATTGAAAAATGCAGTTAAATTCTCGAACGGACGGACAGACATATTGACAGAGAAATTAGCTGCAATAGCGCCCCTGCAATGCGCTAAAAAGAAAGAACCTCGGAAAGAGCAATCTTTGATGAACCATGAGCATAAAAGCACAACAAAAGTATTATGTAATACCGTCGTTTACGTATAATAATTTTGGGGGTGGGGGAGAGTGGCTAAGCGTTAATTTTTCCAATGAGCTCCGAAATCAAAATGGCACAAACGGTGAGCATAGAAGCACAAATTATGCATAATCGAAGACTACGCAACCGGCAAAAAAAAGTTCACTTAGCCCCATTTGATTTTTTGAAACCAAACAGACACAAACCGTAAGCATCGAGGTAAGCATACATCAAGCACAATCGAAGTACGTCGAGTGAAAAAGTTAATATTGGGGGGGGGGGGCAACCGTTTACTTAGCCCGGTTAGGGTAAGCCCTCATTTGATTTTTCTAAATATTTTCAATACCACAAAGGAACAAACCGTGAGCACAAAAGTACAATTAAACGGGGAAACGAGGGGGATCGCGTACTTTTCAAGCATGGGTTTGTATTTGTAAGAATTTTTATGGGGGCTCTTTTAAAATTACACCCCCACAATCTACGAGTGCTAAATAAGATACGAGTTTTCTTAAAAATCGGTAACTTCAAAGTAAGATAGGGGTTACATTTTTATGCGCATTTTTTATCACTAAAAAACATTTGATGCACTGTAAAAACCCCTGCAATCGGCAAAGTGCTAAATAAGAGGGAGATTTCTTAAAGGTCGCCTAGTTTAAATACAGAAAATGATTGCACTTTTAGCTTTCCTGGTTTTTATTATTTATGATGAAAGAAAAAACGCCCACCAGTGAATGTTACCCTTATTTTCCAACCCCCTCAATACTTCCGATTATATTAAAAACGCTTTTGCTTGTGTGGATGCGGCGGGTTCCTATAGACCTGTAACGATATCCTTCGTATCTAATAAGCACAATTTCCGAAACAGGAAAGAATTGCTATTACATCCACCCACCTGCTATTACTACAGATTTCTATCGCCTTTTCAACTTGTCCTAATTGTGCAATTTCATTCGATTAACTGTTTAGAGCAACACATTATTTTAATGGCCACAATGGACTAATCAAGCCGCAAAATCAAAATGGGATTTGTGTAATGCTACAATTGTATATTAATGGAAGATTAATTATAATTGAGCTCATGGCCATCGATTCCGATTAAATAACAATCAGTTGGCAATATTAATAAATTGTTGGTGCGAAAGACTGGCCTTGCATGGCGCCCATTGAATTTTTATCTCTAATTTGTCTTTTGATTACACATCGGAAGTTTAATGTAGCAATCTTACACCCTTGAGTTAATTATCGGTTCAAATATTTCTGCTTATTAACCAAACGTAAAGATTTTGGTAATAGTCCAAGCTTTGCTGCAAACTTCCATTTTTTGTTCTAAATCATCCCCCTGTTCTCAAAACTAATCTAAAATAACTGAAAATGGTGAAAATTAGGTCATTAAAAAACCGAAGCTGTATACTAAATCAACGCTAACGCCATCTAGATTTCAGATTAAGATCACAATTTTTCTCACGTATGGCGCCTTCTACTGCACAATCCTGAATAATGGAGTGCATTTTTCGTATAGGCATTTAATCCACGCTAGGCAAGTTTAAACGAAAATCAATAAAGAAAACTCACCCTTTCCGGACTAAGACAAACTCTTTTCGTTGTCGATTCATTTTGTACTTTTAAAGGGGCTGCGAAAATCTTTCTACCCCCTACGGGCCTCGTAAACGTGGTCGTAAAACTTTTCGACCTCAAAAGTTTAATTTGTGTATTATTCACTGTAACAATTCTGTACTCGTCGTTCTCCTCAATAGTCTTGGAACGAAAACTACCCCCACAAAACATATTGTATTGCACAATCGCGCACTTAGTTGATTAAAAGTAAAAAAAACGGCATGTTACTTTTGAACACAGTTATACGTGCAGCTGCAAGACTACCACAAACTAAATGAAAAATCTCTTGGCCATGTATTTTGTGCCTTCTCTCTTACCTACGTTCACCTTTATTTAATCCGAGAAATTTTCGTGGCACACATACAAGCGAATGTCATTAGTGGCCCGTGAAAGCGAAAAAGACAGACATATTATGATGTTATCTAAGCTGAAAAGGTAGAGGAAGTCCACAGGTAAATACGCTTACGACATGCAATGTGTTGAAACCTGAATCTTCCATCCTCCACTAGAGCGATAAGGATAGTTAATGAATTACGTAGTTATAGTAATAAGTTCATAACGTACATGAAGCATTCGGGCACTGTCGGCGAAAACTACCTTCTTCAATAGGTTACAAGAGTCTCCTCGTGAGTCACATGAACTTTGCAGACCTCGCAACAGAATCTCATTATACGCTAATTAAGTAAACTAAGACTTGCCCCTCATTAATGTCTCTAACCAAAATTATTCCCCTTTCCGAAATACAACAGACCGTAATTAAATTTTGGTTTAAAATTGTGCAAATCTGTAGGTAGCAGATACACGCCGAAACCTGTTATTGGATGTTTATGGCTTTGGCATAATGGAATCTGATTAGAAACTGGGTTGACAGAACCGTTAAAAATAAATTCACGGTCATGGAGATATTAGCGCGGTTTATGTTCACTTTTGGATAAGTTTTGGACGTAAAGGCCGACTAAAACCATACAAGACGATGTCAGTAATAGGCACCAAACACCAGGAAGTAGTTATAGTATTTCAAATTAGGACTGTCACAGGTGCAGAATTCGGTATCCTCACTGTTGTGAAGACCACAACGAGCTGTTTTGACTGATATTTGCCCGAAACAAAGTCAATGCTCAATTTTCACCGATAATTTTTATTGTACGAAGTAGATTTATGATTATTTCCATTGCATGTGGAAAACTAAACCCACCCCATTGACCCCACCCACTCACTCAAGGAACTTGATTATTTGCCAAGGCGTAGTGGCATACTGTCACCTAGTTGGGCCATTGTGAATAAAGATTTTTACTGTATTGAGTTTGCTCCGATTGGACTAAATGTGCATAATAGGTGATGTGAAGAAAACAATCAAAATTAAATTCAAAAATCAAAGTTGCACATGTAAGGGAATTTCCTAGGGAATCAAGTGAAGTTCGGTGCAAGCATTGTTTAAATACATTAAAACAATCGTGCAAGAGTTTGCATTTGTTGTTTGAGACACATACTAGATCTTTGGCTACACTTATTATAAGGATCATTAATTAATCACAATCGCCATTTTTGAAAGGTTGCATTAAGTGTCTCCAGAGTACAACAGGTAGTATGTATTTAAAAAATTAGAGTACCTAGTAAAAGATTTAAAGAGGAAAGAGAAACACTCGAGATCGTAACTCCCAAAAACGAATCTTTTTGGTTCATATAAAAAAATACATTCGTGTTTTCCTCTACGAACCAATATTTGTACGCGAATATTTCTGAATTTTTTTTTGCTTGTTCGGCCTTACGATTCCACCATTGATTTCGCTACCCACATTATCTTTTTTATACTAATTTATAATACATAATATGATCTATTAACTGTTTAAGGAAAAAAAACATCAAAAGCGGAAGTGATTATTATAGCAATGAATTTTTACCTTGGTAAAATATCGCTTTTTAATGATGCTATTTTTATTAACGTATTAAAAGTCCTAACTTGCAGACCCTGTGCTAAAGACACCATCATGAACGAGTCTGCACTTTTAGCAACGACAATAAAAGATTCGCGAAAAAAAAATTCATTGCTAATTAACAATATGAATTCTTTTACTAACAATCTTAAACCGTACGTACACTAACAAATTTTGTATGCGGTACAGAATTATAGTTTACTGCTATTGAACCAAAAAATAAGTAATTCCTAAATAAGCCGCGTAAAGCGGATCTAGAAAAGCGACAGAGCGGTGTGACTCTACGGGGTCTTTGGATTTGACCCATTTACAATAGGCTTGTTACATGTGGCATATGGGTCAACTGTGCAAAGTTTGAACCGAATCGGTCCAAGCGTTTGCCCAGTTCGTGTTCACAGACAGACAGACAGACAGACTCGCCAAAAAGCTTGCTCTGCCGATTAATAATGAGAGATAGTTCATACGAAAGGAAGTAGGGCTGCGAAAAATAATCGATAATTATCCATAGACCGATATTATCACTTACGGATCTTTCATTATCGAGATATCGATAATTTTTCGCAGCCCCTAATCGGGACGTACATAAAGATAGTGAAAAAATTCTTCCTATTCGGAACTCACTTTAACAAGATTTTACCCTTTTGTCATAGGTTGCCATTTTCATAATACGAAAAAATTATCGATAATATCGATACAACCATAATCGACAATATCAATAATCGATAATGAGTTTCTATTATCACACAGCCCTAAGTGGATGAATGACATATTATTGTATAAACAACGTCCGTTAGAATTTGCGGTATTTAGAATGGACTTGGATGTTTAATTAAGTTCATCAAAATTTTGTATTTGTAGTTTTGCCAATTAACAATGAGCCTTACTGGACTACCGACTTTAGAAATTTCAATCCGGTCAATAAAGCGCAATTAACAGAAGCTAAATAAATAAATGTGTTGCAGGATGCGCTCTAATTTTTACAGATTAATTAAGCTGTTCCCGATTTTTATGATGATCAGAAACCGAGAAATTAATTAAAGAAGTTTTAATTTTTGGACGTTCTGATTCGAATACGCTCTTTTGGCTGTCGTCCTCTTAATGGCATAGCCGAATTTTATAAAAGGTAAAGCTGTTGTTTAGAGGGTATCTTTTGCCTTTTTCATCTTCGTAAGTTACGTTTCGTAAGTACCATAATTTTTAAGCTTTTCCGCAAATTTATTTCGCTATGATACCGTTTAATTTTTAATTTTACATTAAGTTTACCGCACCGTATTTACCGCTTTTGCTTTTTCTTGCACAGAAATTTCTACGGCAAGATAAGCGTTTTTCGACTTTCTGTTCCATTAATTTCCTGCATTTGATTTCATGTAGCTACCGTTAATTAATTTGTGCTGTGTTGCTTAGAGAATTTAGGGTATTATTTAAAAAAGGAAGAGACCATTTCAATTGAAGTAATGTTAAAAGTTAAAAGGTTAACATAAAATATATGGTCATGGCGAGTTTAAAATGTGCAATCAGCAATACCGCCAAAAAAATAAACTTTTGTAAAGATTGGGTAGTCGACGGCAAAGAGCAATCTATCTTATTTTGTACAGTTTAATTTCAAAACTTCAAAACTTTGTTAAGCGAAGCCCGAAGGGATATATGCAACAAGGACCGCTGCATCCAATAAAATCGCAACCTATTTACAGAAAGGGTAAGGATAGAATAGCAGCCTTACTAGCCAAGGCATAAGGGGTTCAGCGCTAATGATCAATGTATAAAGATAGCAGCAATCCACTAGCAGAAGACGTAAAGGGTTATAGCACCTTAAAGCACAATAAATTCGTTAGCCACCGTCACAAAAATGTGTTATTTTTAATGGCCAATCACATCACCTCTTTGTGTAAAATGTCCAACTACAAAACCTCGTACAAAACAATTAACTAGGCAGTCTCAGAAGAATGTGTTATAGAAGTAGGGTGGTCTGGGGCTGTGACTCCGCTACAACCGTCGCCCGTGTTGCCAAACGTAACACTTTTAAGAGGGAGGCGAATATTGTAGAAATCCATATAGACATCGAGCCGCGATGAAAGATGAGTCATCGGCGATAAGAAACTAAGGCGGATGTGACGCATTCTTTTCTTGAAATATGACGTGTTTGTTCCAGAACATACGGAAGCATTCGGGTGTACTCGGAGAACATTCTAGAAAAAATGTTGTTTGCTACATAAGCAAATCGAATTATGTTTTCAGTTAGTTCCAACAACGATGCGCTCGTGTTATGTTATAAATTGTGAATGATAAACATTGTTATAAATTAATACATTGTTAGTTAATTGTAAATAAATCAATAACTTATAGCCTAGAAAATTAATTAGTCACAGCCCACTAGACTAGACCAAAGGAGAATGATTATAATTTATAATCAACTCTTATGTTGAGTGAATAGCAAGTTATAGTGCTGACACTCTGCAAGACACAGTAGTTTATGTCGAGAGTTAGTTAAGTCCTTTACGTTTACTATGGCATATATCCGTACATGACAAGGCTTAATCTATGAATATGTCGGTTGTCAAATATTATTTGCAACCAAAGAAAAGAATAGTCAAACTAAAGTTTTTGGGATCATCATAATTACATCTATTAAGCACAGTTGCCCCGGGTTTAAAATTAGTTTTAGGTACGTGTTTTTACCTTTAATTCACAAAAATGTTGGGTATACCAAATTTCAATTACGTGCGTTACTCCCATCAAATTAGTTAATTTTTTGTCTATTCCGAGGAGAATTTAGATGTTCTACAATTAGGTACACACAATTCCATTAACCTAAATTAATAATAATAAACGCTTTAGCATTAATTTGATAATGTGTAATAGATCACTCAAACACTTTTTTAATTTCACATGTTTCCCATCTGCTTCTTTACATTAGTGTAAAATCACCGTCACGTCATTTAATGGAAGTCGCTTTACCATCACGTTGCGATAATTTTTGTGTGCCACTTAGGTAAAAAAATTGGCCTAACTGTGTCACGCATCAAATGTATACAATCGAGAGTGCTGTAATTTTTAATAATACAGTTCAATTTTACCTTGCTTGACTAATTGGGCAGAGATTTTATCTTTTAAAAAAGTCGGGTTTCAAAAAGTGGTTTTCTCACTAATCTTAGTGCTATAATGGTTTTGCAACTTCTATCTATCTATAGGTAAATATATAAGCGTATTTGTTCTTGAAGTTCATGAGTATTATACTTATCACACATCGAGTCATTGGCTTGCGAAAAAAAAGGTTTTTGAGCAACACCAAATCAAGTATGGCTACAATGAAACCCTACCATTGGCGA